CTGAAATGAGAACAACTATTATTGTTGTTGTTGTTGTTGTTATTAAATAACTATAATTGAATTTGGAAGAGCATTTTTTTTTTTTCTGATTGGCTCCAACACCTAAATTACAATGCGAAGGTTTATGTGGCCGAAGGGCTGGCTGTCTTCTTAGGCTGATCACAGCCTTCACCGTAATGGACAACTGAGACCCTGCAGAAGCTGTTTGTTTTCCTGGAGAGGAGAGATATGAAAACGTACGAAGGATCCCACTTCGGCAGCCCTTTCTGCCTGTTAATCCTCGGGCCTGGGCTGATATTGAGTGTTGGTTCAGGTACTCTCGGGATGTGTTTACTGAGGCTTATGCAGGAAAAGCCCCATTGAGCAATCCGGGCCGGTGCTGCTCTGTGCCTCCATGTTTCCGGCTGCTGGTTTTGTAGAGTCTTACTTCAAAGCAGGGGAGGGGGAGAGAAAGACTAGAGGGCTGAGGGCTGAGCTGGAAATCCAAAGCCCTGAGTTCCCATCACAGTCCGCCTGGCTTCTGAGTTCTTTAAGTCTACTGTTGCTGCTTTGTTGGTTTATCTTTAAAGGGATGAGTAGCAGGCTGGGAATTACTGAAGCAAAAAAGAACCATTTAACTACTCTTTTTAATAATAATATGAGCTACTAATTAGCAAGCCCCACTGCAAGCCAGGCGCAGAGCTAAGTGCGTTATATACATTATCCCAGTTATCCCTGCAACTCACCTGCTGTTGGTGCACTATGACCCATTTTACAGACAAGAACATTGGGGTATCCAAGTTAAATGTGTCGGGACCAGTAGGTGGTGTGGTGGTTAAGGCACTGGACTGTCACATGGCTGACTGTGGTTCAAGTCCCTGACCTGGCAGTTTGCTTTCTCACTTTCCCTTTCTTTCTTTCTCGCTCTCTGGTCAAATTTTTTAAAAAAGTAATAATGACAATAAATAAAATAAATATTTTTTTTTAAAGTTAAGGGGCCATCAGGTGCCATGGTGGTTAAGGGCAATGGACCATGGTGCCGACCATGGCTGACCGTGGTTCAAGTCCTGGACCTGGAGATTTGCTTTCTCACTTTTCCTCTGTCTCTCTCTCTCTCTCTCTCTTTCTCTCCCTCTCTCTCTCTCTCTCTTTCTCTCTCTGTCCCTCTCTGGTCAAATTAAAAAGTAGTGAATAAATAAATAAAGTTAAATAAAAAAATAATTCTTTCAAATAAAATAAATAGTTAGATGTCTCATCCAGGATCACGCAGCTAGTAAATGACAAAGCCAGTGTTTGACTCTGGGACTGTCAAATTCTTCCAACCTCTCTGATCTATCACCTTCTGTTTCCACATCAACATTTTTCTCTTTTTTAAAAGCCCTGATGACAATGCGTGTGGTAAAGAATACTGACTGGGTGACCAAGATTTTGTTTTGCTTTCTCATTCATGTACTCTATTCATTACTGTCCTGTTTCCATCCGTTTGCTCCACTCACATTTATTGAGCACCTGCTAGGCACCGGATGCCGTCCTAGGCTCTAGAGATCCCCAGATAAAATCCCTAGGGTCCTTGCCCTTCAGAAGGTCAGGCTAGCATCAACAAATAAATGACCAAAACCTTAAAATTCAGAGTAAGAAATGCTAATGCACCAATGTGTAAAAGAGACTACTTTTGCTTAAGGAACTAGGGAAGGTCTACAAGACAGGCTGAAACCTACATGAGCCCGGAAGGACATTGCAGGCAGAGAGAACGAAAGACATTCCGAGAAGGACTGAACAACCGAAACGGGCTGGGAAGGTAGGGTGGCCAGAGCAGGAGGGGTACTAAGGAGTTTGACTCCGGTTTCATCTCTGAAATAGACTGTTGGGGACCTCAGGCAAATCACTTCCTGTTTCTGGGCCTCAGTTTCCCCATCCATGCAATATAGCCATTAGCCTTGAAGTCAGTGGCCCCCATGCTGGATCTGGCTGGTAGATGTGTCTCCTTTGGTCTGCGTGGTTCTTTCTTAGACAAAGAACTGCCATGTAAGGGCTGAGGGCTGAGGACCAAGGGCTGAGCTCACATCAAAATCTGGGCTTCTAGCTTCTTTTGAAAAGAAGCTGTGACGGATGGCACCTACATTCCTATCCAACCAGAGGTGGCTGGAGCCGAAGAGTTCCACGGCTCAGATGGGCTGAGCGCGTTTCAGTTCCCCTACAGTCTCCTCTACCCCATGTCCACCACCAAGACCAACCAAAAAGGGTCATTTATCCTCCTGTCTGTATGTCTGATTACTGCTTTTCTCTTAGAATAGAGGAAACAAAATCTTCTGTAGCCATGATGCTAACAAAGGTGAGAAAGCAAAACCTATCCCAAGAGAGGGCAATAAATAAACATTTTAAAAATGGCTCATCTGGGACTGGCAGGTGGTGTGGTGGTTAAGGGCACTGGACTCCCACATGGCCAACCGCAGTTCGAGTCCCAGACCTGGTGGCTTACTTTCTTACCTTCCCCTCCCCACCCCCATTCCTCTCTGGTCAAATTCAAATAAATAAATTAAATAAATATTTTTTTAAAAAAAATGGCTCATCTGAAAATGGCTCCTTGGACAACTGATACACCCACCCCCCAATGCTTATTTCTTTCATGACAGCATAATCTCTCTTCCACGTCAGCAACCCCCATCTTTTGTCTCCAGCCTTATTCTTAGAGAAAAATAGCTCAAAATCCACAATGTTTAGTGTTTTCAGATGTGGGTCTGGGTTTAACTGCCAATTCTCTGCTCTGTGACCTTTCACAATCAACTTCATTTCTTGAAGCCTCAGTTTCCTCATCTGTATAATGGAGATAATAGTAATAATATAAACAGTGCTTTCTTTACAGAGCAGTTGTCACGGGTTAGATGAAAAAACAAACAAACAAACAAAAAAAGGCAGGTAGATCATTTCACACCATGCCTGACACACAGTAAATGACTACTCTCAAAGTGTGTACCAAGACAGTGCTTTTTACGTAGCATGCCTCAAACAAATTACATGGGAGTCCAGCGACATAGCCATTACGCTAACTGCTGGGTCCCAACAGTGCTTTCTTTACAGAGCAGTTGTCACGGGTTAGATGAAAAAAACAAGCAAACAAACAAAATAAAACAAAGGCAGGCAGATCATTTCACACCATGCCTGACACACAATAAATGACTACTCTCAAAAGTGTGTACCAAGACAATGCTTTTTACGTAGCATGCCTCAAACAAATGAACAGATAAGACAACCTATGGATAAATTAGTTTGATAAATTCAGGCCTAACATACTCTTCTGTTGCACAACTTCTCAGAAACTTTCAATAATAGCATAATATATACTATTTCTCTCCAGCTCATAAATACAGAATTTTGGGGGAGTAATTTAGCGATACAACCTTTATTTAGGGAGCAGTATTTTATAGGGTTAATAGATCACAGAATCTCTTTAGAAATACCATTTGGGCCTTCTTTTTGAAACTACCATCTTCCAGTAATTCACCAAAATGATGAACACAAAGGGAGGGAAAGAGGAGAGGCAACCAAGTGTGTTCTCTAGGCCTTTTAGAAAACACGGAGTGGGTCCTTTGGCAACATACAGGCAAATCTACAAGAAAGGTGATATTGTAGACATTAAGGGAAGGGGTACTGTTCAAAAAGGAATGCCCCATAAATGTTACCATGGCAAAACTGGAAGAGTCTGCAATGTTACCCAGCATGTTGTTGGCATTGTTGTAAACAAACAAGTTAAGGGCAAGACTCTTGCCAAGAGAATTAATGTGCATGTTGAGTGTACGATGCATTCTAAGAGCAGAGATAGCTTCCTAAAACATGTGAAGAAAATGACCAGAAAAAGAAGAAACACAAAGAGAAAGGTACCTGGGTTCAACTAAAGTGCCAGCCTGCTCCACCCAGAGAAGCACATTTTGTGAGAACCAATGGAAAGGGGCCTGAGCTTCTGGAACCTAGTCTCTATGAATTCATGGCAGGATAGGTGTTAAACTAAACTATGGTCTTAAAAAAAAGAAGAAATACTATTCAAACATCAAGTTGAGAGTAAGACTGAAATTGCAGATGAAATAGTCCCACAATGAGGACCTTCTCTGCCTCGTGGAGAGAGACATGGGTGGAATCACTGCTCTCTATGGTCTTTGGATCTTTTGTTTAGGTCTGTCCCTTCTCCCCTCTTGGACTCATTACTAGTAAGAGCCAAAAGTCTGACTTGCCTTGGTTACCACTTCTTTTTTCTTTTTTTTAAGAAAAAAAGTTATTTTATTTATACAAAGAATTATTTTATTTAGTTTTATTCATCATAATTATTTTTTAAAAGTTGACCAGAGAGAAACAGAGAGAGAGAAAGAAAGTGAGAAAGCAAGCCGCCGGTTCCAGAACTTGAACCACTACTGGCCATGCAGAGGCCCAGCTCCTTATCCACCTGCCAACCCCCAGGTTATCACTTCTTCCCTATTCTGAAAGTGCCTTGTGCAATCATATGGGTCCAGTTGGCGATTCCTCCCTTGCAGTGTGAATGCGCAAGAAGACAGAAGTACCTTCTTTGAGCCAGAATAAAGCAGGGATGCTAGAGACATTGTTACCTCTTCATCATCATCCCGATCAGCTGAGGTTTAAATGGAATTCTGTCAGGGCCACCGACAAGACTTTTTTTTTTAAGGAAAAAAAAAAAAAAACAGAAAGAACGAAATAGGCACAGAAGATACGATTACATTTCATCTCAGGATGATTGTTCTCTGAGCAAAGTGTGTTATTTTCCTGTGGGTAATCCCTTACCAGACTGTGGATTTTCCTTGTTCGACAACAGCCACTACAACCCAAAAGCAACCAACTGTGTTATTGACAATGTTTTAATTACAATTCAGAAAAGATACAAGACAGCAGAGATGAGGAAATTCTCTGGCTGTCGTGGCATTTGTATGTTTAAGAAAATTCAGTAGGGGTGGTTCTAGTAAGAAACGTTTATTTTCTGCTCATGCTAAAAATTCTAGTAGCATGCAGGGGGTTGTTTGAAATGAAATAATAACATTCATAGAAAGAACTATCCTTGGCAGCAGGATAAATGAAATTAGAAGCTCTTAGAATGGTGGGCTTGCAACAATGTTAGTGTGAAATATAATCGTTGAATTGCTTTGTTCTTTTTTCCAATAAAAGGTGGAAGCTCTTGAGTGTCGTTATTAGGCGAGCTAAGCTGGGCTTCGGTACAGCATACGTTTGTGTGTCTCAACCAGAAGAAGCTTTTGAAGTCCCACGATTCCTTCTGCTTGCTAATTCTTCCATTTGTTTGATTTTTGGTACAAAGAAAATGAAAGAATATGATGAGATTATGGCATTTTAAGTCAATATTTATTAAAAAATCAATCTAGATGAAAATCTGCCCATCCCTCTAATTAGATGAGGCAACTTGAGGTTGATTTTTAATTGCAAAAGTAATTACACGGAGCAGATAGCCAGTGACATTTGATTATGTAGGTGATTGATTAAAAAGCCGAGCTCACCGAGCAGATTGTCAGCCAGGGAATCCAGACAAAAGAGCAAATTAAAAAAGTTGTCCTGTTAGTAATCACCAAATTCAAGGATGAAATTACAGAGCCAAACACCTCCATTGCCCTCCCATTCTCATCACTCACTCCACACGCATTCACTCCAACGCCTGATAAAGAAATGGATTAGTGTGAAATTAATTGAAGGGGGGGAAAAAAAAGGGAACTGAATTCATGGCTGAGAATGGGGCTTTTAATAAGTTGAAACAAATTTCTCCAGTTTTATAATACAACTTTTTTTTTTTCTTTTTGGCAAGAGAGATGTTTTCATAAAGGATCTTTTCAGAATGTTTGATGATATTAATTTATCTATTAAGAGAGAGGGGGAGAAAATAATCTCACTTTCTAGCAGAATAGGATATTAAGATGTCTCCCTTGTTATTCATTTCATTATAACATGAAAGCCTGGGGAACAGGCTGTACATTTGGCAAGAGAATCCTTGGATTTGTAAACAGCCCTGGCTGACATATTGGGAAAAATAATGAAGGGGTTTCCCGGTCATTCAGAGGAACCCCAGTGGGGTCCACTCAGGGATATTGTGGATAAAGGGGGAAGGGTGTGTATGGGAGTGGTCTCCAAGAAGACATTAGGCCTGGCTTACAGCAACAATGCCAGGTCCCCAGAAGTCCCAGAAAAGCAGAAGGGAAACTGAGGCAGGACCACCCAGTACAGCTCTGGCAGCATTGAGAATTCAGGGCCACCTTCCTATGACTGCTCCTGAGTGCCAGCATGGGCCAGGTGTAATGAACTAGTCAGGACAGAGTCCAGGCAGAGCGTCCAACAGGAGGCTGTGTTCCTTACCACCGTCCAGGACAACTGACTTCAGCTGCTTCCGAGTTCAGAGCCGGTGTGCTGCAGGGAGACAGATATTTCAGTACACAGATGCTTGGATTCCCTGTCTCTGATACTAATAGTTACTGCAACCGTTTCCTTGTATTCGGTATTTCACTTTTTAAAAAGTCTATGTATTCCTCCAACACATACTACTGGTAAGACAACTTGATATTTTGATTAAGAGTTTCGACTCTTAGAAAATGATTTTGCATGAGGCCAGCAGGTGCCATGGTGGTTACGGTGCTGAACTCCCACATGGCCAACCAAGGTTCAAGTCCCACAGCTAGAGGGTTTCTTTCTCACTTTCCCTCTCTCTCTCTGGTCAAATTAAATAATAATAATAATTAAAAAATAATAATAACAATGATGAATAAAATTAAATAAAATAATTTTAAAAGAAAGGCAAGTGCCACTTAAAAACAAAGAGAAAATGATTTTACATTATCCTATGCAACCAGAGTTACACATAACCTCTGACCCAGCAATTCTGCTGTACACACATCTCAGTAAACTATGTGCAATGTACACAAGAAGACATATGCAAGAATGCTCATTGCAGCATGGTTCTTAAAAATGCCCCAAAATTGGGGCTGGTAGGTGGCATGGTGAGGGTGCTGGACTCCCACATGACCAACCATGGTTCAAGTCCCAGACCTGGTGGCTTGCTTTCTCACTTTCTCTCTATATATATTTCTCACCCTTTCCTTCTCTGGAC